TACTATGCCTGTGCCCCCGATGAAACAACGCGCCTGTCGTGAGACATCCTTGACTTGCACTCGATTCCTTGACCACATACTCCTACGATGACCTTCAAAAACATGATATTCATATATCTCAGTGTCTTCCGTAGCATGAGACAAAGCGACAGACTTGTCCGTTGCCTGGGAGAGATGCCAGCGAGATGCCGGCTTCCACCGCGCTAAACCCCCTATCTTCCATGTACAACATTCCAACGTTTATATGTTACATTTATCTAAACATTAGTGTGCACAATTAGTGTACAGTGCTCTTTGGGTACCAGTCATGGCGTCACCGAGAGCTCAAAGTGATTGGGTAACATTTACTCCGATGCCCTGAGCGGATAAGAATTGAAGGGGAGAACACACGACAGTCTTTCGAGCCGTGTTTACTCAATTTTGGGATCTAGCTTCTGAGCTTCGACTATGCTATCAAATAGACCTAGCACAGCCCACAAACAAATTTTGGGAGGTAATGGTTAAGAGACGCGTTCAAGATACTCAAAATACATGCATGTTTCACGACGGGCGCGTTGTTTCATCGGGGGCACAGGCATAGTATCAATCTGAAAGTCGCTGTAAGTGTATTATCAAAACTTGTTCAAGACAGATTTATAATAAATGATGCGCGAAGCCTGTATAGATTCTCCTGTGTGCTTCTCGTCCATACAAGCTTCATTTATAGTACGCCTAAGGGGTTTTTACACAGGCTAATCGCATCTGTTGCCCAATCTATACAGGCTTCAATTACAGTGTGATCAGGTGGCTATACACGTCCTATGCAGATCCACATAAACTGCCCTTTCCGCAGTGAATTGTGAACTTTTTGCGCTGGTAAGAAGTGCGGCTTACCATATTGGGCACCAGATTTCTAAAGCCCCAAAATTCAAACCCTGAGGCAGAAATTTAAACTTTTCATCAACTTCTCTTACAGCAAAAGCTGACTGACAAAAGCTTTCACAGATCCACATTTTTCGACCATGTTTTGTACCAGGAAAATCGCAATGTGTCTGCAGTAAGAGGGACTGGGATCAATGTCGACTCGCTGGCAGGCGAGCGGCGGAGTTTGAATTTTGGTTCAGCCCGAGAGAGGTAGGGAAAATAAGCCCCTGTAGGTTAGATACGACGCATCTGAACACGCTCCCCGCCTCATTAACGTGTCGAGCCCATGTACTTATGTTTTTATCCCTTACTACACTCCTTTTAAATATGGATGAACACTATATTACAACTCTTGACGCTCCTCTCTTGAATAACGGCCGCGATTCCCTGAAGAAACTGTCCCGATCTTTCCTCAACAGCCTCACCTTTGAGCAAATAGAGACTGTTTTATGGGCGACTATCTGTTTCAACGCGCGATTCTGAGGCAAACTAGCGCTACAGCAGCTTCATATCGAAGCTGCTACTAATGAACCAGCCCGGAAGCACGTCGTTGTACGCGCTGGGACGGGGTATGGCAAAACTATGGCCATGATCCTGCTCCTCATCCTTGCACACCCTCGCAAAATCGCCATTGCTGTGTCCCCACTCAAGCTACTCCGACAAACCCATGTAAATGTTATTACTGTACTAATCGCTGGCCTTAACGCTCGAAAGGGTGAGGAGCTTAATAGCTCTGGCGTCCGCACCAACCAAATAAATGAAGACGTGCCGGATAACAAGGAGCTTTGGAATGTACGTATATTTCGCGCATACAGCCACTAATCTTTACTCTATGCTATCCAGGATATTGCTTGAGGAATCTACAAGAATATACTGGTCACTCCCGAGAAGTTCTTTCGTTTCAAAGGACGTATACCTTGCCTTGCCTCGCTCATCATGCGGGTGCATTCATTCAGTAAAGACATCGGTCACTTGCTAGTTGACGAAGGCCACTCTATGGGCCATACCACTGGCTTCACTCGCAAAGGAGAGAAGGCTCCATTTTGTTCTGCATACAGTCGGCTCAACGATGTGTTGGAATTCTGTGTTCGTTATCGCTCGCATCATGACGTGTCGATTTATCATATAGATTCCGAGTTTTATTTAGGTATATATTCATGTCGTAGCTACTTGGATTATTCACGCGATTGCCCTTCGGGCACCC